CCCCCCCGGACCCCCAACTGACTGGACGACAGGGTGGCGGCTGGCGGTGAAGTCGTAGCGGGGGCCGTAGAGGAAGGGGACGCGGAAGTAGAACAGCAGGTAGATGAGCAGCGGCCCCGCGTACTCCGTCAGGAAGACCTGCGGATGGACGGATGGATGGACAGACGGATGGATGGATGGATGGAGGGGGGACGAGGGGCACAGTGTTGGGGGGGCCACACGGAGGGACACAGTGACACGTGGAGGGATGAGGGACGCGCAGGGGTGGACGCATGGGGGAGGTGGAGGAATGGGTGGCTGGAGGGACAGAGGGATGGACAGAGGGACACGGGGGCACACAGAGGAGCAGGGACGGACACACGGACAGAGTGACATGGGGACACACAGAGGGACACACGGACAGAGGGAAGCAGGGACGGACGCACGGAGAGAGGAACATGGGAGCACGCAGAAGCAGGGATGGACAGAAGGACATAGGGATGCACAGAGGGAACTAGGGACAGACACATGGACAGAGGGAAGGAGGGTGGCTTAAGGGACAGACAGACAGACAGAGGGACATGGGGACAGAAGGGGACAGGGATGGACAGAGGGACGGAAGGACAAAGGGACAGACAGGAGCAGATGGAGGGATGGACAGAGGGCTGGAGGGAGGGACAGAGGGACACAGGGATGGAGAAAGGGCTGGATAGATGGACAGACAGATGGACAAAGGGACATGGAAACAGAGAAACAGACAGAGAGCTGGAGGCACAGACAGACAAAGCGATAGGCAGAGGGACACAGGGAGGGACAGAGAGATGGATGGAGGAACAGAGGGACAGATGGAGAGCTGGAGGTGCACAGGGACAGAGGAGCAGATGGAGGGATGGACAGAGGGACACAGGGAGGGACAACGGGATGGACAGAGGGACAGACAGAGGGATTGCCAGGAGCAGCCAGAAGGACGGACAGAGGGACGCAGGGCCACTGGAGGGCTCAGCTGAGGGACAGGAGGCTGGACAGACAGGAGAGATGACAGTATGGAGGGACAGACAAACGGACAGAGGCACTAAGAGGGGGGACATGGATGGATGAACAGAGTGCTGGCGGGGACAGACGGATGGACAGAGGGCGGGCTGGGGAAGGCAGGGGGGGAAACAGGGGGATGGCAAGAGGGAGGGATGGAAGGATAGACAGAGAGAGGGACAGACAGACAGACGGATGGATGCCTCACCGTCACCCAGCTGATCTGGGCCCCCAGGTCGCGGAAGTAGAAGGTGGCGGTGGTGCCCACGGGCAGGCTCTGCAGCACGTCCTCATCCTTCAGGGACCTGCCCTCTGTGGGGACACGCGTCCTGGTGACCGCCACCCCGACGGGGTTGGGGACACCCCCGGGGGACATCCCACCCCCCCGCGGTGACACTTACTGGGGTCCAGGCGCAGGGACTGTCTGGCTGGGTACCACTGGGGATCTGCGGGAGAGAAGGGACGGCGTTGGTGGCATTGCGGGGACAGCGATGGCACCGGGATGGGACCCCGGTCACAAGGGGCGTCCTCAGGGTGCCACGAGAGGTCTCTGGTGGCGAGGGAGGTCCTCACGGCCCCACTGAGGGTCCGCCGGTCACTATGGGGAGCCCAATGTCCCCATGAAGGGTCCCCAGCTATGAGTAGGGTCCCCAAGGCCCCGTGACAGGTCCCCAACCACAATGGAGACCGCGATGACCTTGTGATGGGTCCCCAGCTGCAACGGGGGTCCCCACGGCCCTGTGACAGGTCCCCAGCCATGATGAGGGTCCCCAAGTCCCTGTGATGGGGGTCCCCACAGCCCCATGACAGGTCTCTGGTCACAGTGAGGGTCCCCAAGACCCCGCAATGTGTCCCTGGTCACCGTGATGACCACAATCGCCCCGTGACAGGTCCTTGGCCACGATGAGGGTCCCCACCACCCTGTGATGGGGATCCCCACGGCCCCGTGATGGGTCCTCAGCCACGACGAGGGTCCCCACGGCCCTGTGACCGGTCCCCAGCTGCAGCGAGGGTCCCCACGGCCCTGTGACCGGTCCCCAGCTGCAGCGAGGGTCCCCAGCTGCAGCGAGGGTCCCCAAGTCCCCTTGTTGGGGGTCCCCACAGCCCTGTGACAGGTCCTTGGCCACGATGAGGGTCCCCACCACCCTGTGACAGGGATCCCCACGGCCTCGTGATGGGACCCCAACCACGATGAGGGTCCCCACCACCCCATGGAGGGTCCCCAGCTGCCACAGGGGTTCCCGGCGGAGGGTCCCCGTCCCTGTCTGTACATACGGGCCTTGGTGAACAGGCTCTTGATCTCAGCGATGGTGGCGTGAGGCTCCACCTGCGGGCAACCAAGAGGCCGTCAGGGGACTGCCGTGGCACCCTGTGCCTCAGTTTCCCCTTGCCCCAGCCCCCCACCCCACCCAGGGGGACAGGGGACAAGGGGGAGGGGACGTGCGTGTCCTCCCTCCCCCTGCTTCCAGGTACCTTATCGAGGAAGCAGAGCTTCTCCCGTGTCCGGGCATCCAGGATCTCCACCTCGAAGAAGAGGACAGCTTTCTTTGTCTTCTTGGCAGGGGGAGCCTGGTGCCACAGCCCCAGGATGGGGGATGGGGACAACTGGCCCCCCTCATGGGGTAACCCCGCTCCCTCCATGTCACCGGCCCCCGGAGACACCACAGGGACGCTGGCGCGCCCAGCTGAAACCTGATCGGTCCTCGGGGTGCTGCTAAATATAAACCTCCCCACCCCTGTCCCCTGGGGTGGCTCTTGGCCCTGGTGGCCCTGGAGGTGGCCCTGGAGGTGGCCATGGGAGGGACAGGGTCACCTGGCACCCCGTGAGGGACGGGGACCAGTGACCAGTGGGGACGGAGGGGACAGGACCGCGGCACGTGTGGGAGGTAAGTCTGCCCCCCCCCCCGCCCCCCAACACCCCCAGGTCCCTGAGGTCCCCAAGGCCCTCAGTGGCACGAGGGTGGGGACAGGCCTGGCCAAAGCATGGCCATGTGGCTGGATGTCACCCCTGGGTCACCCTGGGGGACACACACACACACGGGTCTACGTCACCCTGTGACACTGTGATGGAGACAGGGGTCTGTCACCCTTGGGTACACCACGATAGGGACAGAGTTGCCCCGTGATACCCCAACAGGGACGGGGGTCTGTCACCCCCAGGACACTCTGATGGGGATGGGGTCTGTCAGCGTGGGTCACCCCAATGGGTCAGGGGCCTGTCACCCCCAGGACACCTTGGTGGGGACGGGGTTATGTCACCCTGTGACACCCCAATGGGCGCCTGTCACCTTGACGGGATCTATCAACCTAGGACACCCCAATGGGGACAGCAATATGTCACCTCTGTGACACATGGACAGGGCCGGGCGTCTGCCACCCTGGGTCACCCCGTCAGGGACAGGGGTCTGTCACCCCAGGGGGGCTGTGGCTGCGACCCCC